CATTGCTCCAAAGCAAGTGGAGAATTTATTAGATAATACTAGGAAAAGCATCTGTGTTTTCTTAATGCAGTTGCTCAAGTTGAGCTGCAGCCCGGTTTGGGACTAAGAAGGACAAAGCCCTTCCTTTATAATTTGACTCCAATATTTCCTTCTGACTTCTCAGTACCTGGCTCCTGAGGTGCTAAAGAAGCAGCCCTATGACAGGACAGTAGACTGGTGGTGCCTAGGAGCTGTCCTCTATGAAATGCTCTTTGGACTGGTAAGTTTGGAAATGGGCCGGTTTCCTTTACATTGTGGAAATTTTATTTGCAAAAGCTGTGGTGTGAGGTTGATCAGGTGCTCACAAGGTACTTGATAAACAACTAAATCCTGAATTAATGATCTGGTTCAACCCTACCACTGCCCTTTTGATGAGAGGTGTGGCAGGTCTCCCTCATTTACTCACTGCAGGACCCGTTTTGACCTGCAATGTGTCACTCCTTTGGGTAGCTCATGTTTTATCTGGTTGCTTCTCCTCTCTTTCAAATTAGCCTCCTTTTTACAGCCGGGATGTGTCTCAGATGTATGACAACATTCTGCACAAGCCACTACAGATCCAAGGAACCAAAACTGTGGCAGCTTGTGACATCCTTCAGGGACTTCTCCACAAGGACCAGAAGAGGAGGCTGGGTGCCAAAACAGACTTTGTAGGTGGCCTTCACTATATGAGCAGGAGGGAGGGAGGATGGAGAGGAAAATTTCTATTCTGAGCATTTCTTTCATAACAGCACTGCCTTGGAAAAAACCTTCCCACACAGTCTGTCCCTTCAGCCTCCTACAAGGGATACATGGGGTTGACTTGGATTTCCAAAGGGAGAGGGGTGGGGGCCAGCTAAGGACACCAGTGTGTGATGGGTCATTTCCCTTCAGGGCATTCCTGGACTAGGACCCCAATGTATTAAGGATTTGTGGATATGGGTTTGTGGTAACTTCAAGCCTTTCTTCAGCCACTTAGAGCTGTCAGATCAGGTGCTGGAAAAGGAGGGTTGGCAGAAGACTGACTTTTCCTTCCTGCTTTCTGTACAGCTTGAAATAAAGAACCACGTATTCTTCAGCCCAATAAACTGGGATGATTTATATCACAAGAGGATTACTCCTCCATTCAACCCCAATGTGGTAAGTGGGTAATTCTGTCTGTTTTACACATGGGATTCTTTCCAGATGCCTCATGGTGACACTGAGGATTCTGAGGGGTGGGTTGGGACCTGCAGATGCAGGTGGTGGCTCTTTTGGAAGAGCAGCTGTGTTGGACTGCCTGAACACAAGGGTCTGCTCCCCCAGTGATTGTGTCTCTGCTCCTTGGTTAGGCTGGCCCAGCTGATCTGCGACACTTTGATCCTGAGTTCACCCAAGAAGCCATCTCTGCCTCCATCACCCGCACACCTGAGCTAGCAGCCAGCAGCTCCAGTGCCTCAGATGCATTTTTAGGATTTTCATATGCACCAACTGAAGAGGACATTTAAGTTTTACAACGGCTTTGTGAAGCCATATTTTAAATGAATGGGTTTTATATTTTTGTTTTGTTTTTCCTTTTGAGAGGATTGGTACTATCCTTTGCTCATGGTTTAAGGAAATTGGCACTAACACACTAACTGGCTGGGATGGAACACAGATCTTAATTTTTGCTGTTTGGTGGATTTTCTCCCTAAATGAATATTTCCCTGCCAGGGGAAGTGGGACACTGACTATGATTTTCCCTGAGTGTCTTGTGCTGCTTGGCAGAATTGTATTCACCCTGTGGCTGTATCTATGGTTGAGGCATGTGCCATTATTCACATCAACAGCCATGTCCCTGTAACTGGACATATTTTTTTAATTTTTTTTTTTGTGAAACTATGGTCAGCTATGTCCAATGTCTTTCCAAAGCCCTCATCAGGAATGGAAAACTCTTCATATCACCATGAACAGTGGCTTCCTTCCTTTAGGTGAACTCTGTCAACTCAAGCTGCTTATCCTGGGCTGAGTGAAAAACTGTTCATCATTGCTCCAAAGACATCTGCAGATCTGTAAATCCTGAACTGCACTGTGTTCTTTCATGCCAGCCTGATCTCTCTCAAAGTGAGAGGATCATCTGTCTGGTCCAGGATTGGGATGCTACTGAAGCCACACTGAGGCTGTGACAGAGGAACCAATGTGTATGAGGAAAATCCCAGACCAAAAAGGGGCTGGGGAAGGGGGCTGAGTTGCTTGGAAAAAATGGAAATAACTTTATAGCTGACCTCTGCTTGGGGTTGGGGGGTGCTTTCACAGTGTGTGCTTGACTTGCCTCAGGCACACCAGCACTTACTGTGATGAGCACAGGGCAGTGAACAGCGAGTGCTGACCAGGCTCCAGCACTCACCTGAAAATGCCTATCACTGATGTGGAACAGTTATTTATTCTGCCTTAATTTAAGTGCTGGTGTATTCATTGAATGTCACTTCCCACTTATTTTTTTAAGCTGTTGTGTGCTGTGGCTGTGGGGAGGACAGGGGGCTCAGAGCAACACGGGGATAAACAAGGGGCTGTCTAAAAGTTGTGTGATGCTCATGCTGTGGGGAACCTTGTGCTGGTACAACGGTGTTTTGGTTTTTTTTTTTTAATCAGGCTCTATCTTGTATATGCTGAAGTCATTGGAAGTATGACATGGTTTCTATTAAAGTTATAAACACTGATGTTGTTCTCTGCTTGTCCTGGATAAGAGGGGAAGGAGGGGGTTTGCTCTGTGCTGGGCCTGAGAGCATGACACTGCATGCAGAGTCACTAACACTGAAGGATTTAAATTAAAGAGGAATTCCCTCATTTAAGATGATCACAGAATCATGGAAGGCTTGAGGATCTCTAAGGCTATGGGTGAGGATCCCTTCTACTCTCCCACTTTGCTCCAAGCCCCATCCATCCTGGCCTTGGACCCTTCCATGGATCCAGGGGCCGCCACAGCTTCTGTGGGCACTCTGAGTCACGGCCTGCCCCCCTCACAGGGACGAACGTGCAGTTGTCAGGATTGGGATTTTAGTCACGAGCAAACTCGAAGGCCCAGGAACGTCAGGAGCGGCTTGAGGACAGCGGGACTGCTCCCGGCCATGCCAGGCGTGGGCTGGGGACAAGGGCCCGCCCGAGAGCGGCCGGGAGCGCGCAGCCCTGTCCCCGCCCCGTCACACCCCCCGCCCTCCTCAGTGGTAGCTCCCCGCCCCTTTCCCTGGCGGGGAGTGGAGCGAACCACTGCGGCGACCTCTGCACTCGGGGGGGAGGT